GAACCGAGGGGACCGAGGGGTCTGAATGACCGACAGAGGCCTCGCTCTCAGGGAACCGAGGGGTCTGAATGACCGACAGAGGCCTCGCTCTCGGGAACCGAGGGGTCTGAATGACCGACAGAGGCCTCGCTCTCGGGGACCGAGGGGACCGAGGGGTCTGAATGACCGACAGAGGCCTCGCTCTCGGGAACCGAGGAGCCCAGCCAAGGTAAGGGAGCCCCGTGTTAGTTGTCAGAGCTGCATCATGAGAGTGAAATGTCTGAAGCTGCCAACTTCACCGCATAACTAGGAAACACCTCCATCAGCAGAACCAACGATCTCCGCGTGGACACACAGCAGCACGTTTGCGGTGAGTACCTCACATGCCGCCTCCTTGGAGGACAGGCAGGGAAAGAAAGGTCATGGAGCCCAGAGTGGCTGCTTCATGTCCCACAATTCATAACCACCAGCCTCTCAGGCTCTCTGGAGAGCTCACAGAAGCACACGTTGCAGGCATGCACACTACACGGTTCTCTGAACAGACTGCACCATGAACTACACCATGGTGACCCCATGGGCCACAGGTACGCCTCCAGAAAAAAGAAGAATGGCTAGCCCCTGCAGTGTCTGATTAACCAACCTTGCAATATTCCACCATTGCTGCTGCCTCAACCGCTGCTGCCTCAACTGATAAGCCAACCTTGTGACACTGGACCTTGGACCTTGTGACACCCCCCCACAGCGACACCCCCACCCCAGCTTGCAAAAACCACCATGAACTGTTACTTCTGTAACTTTCCACTGCCTACCCCAAACCTATGAAACCAACTCCTGTCCCACCGCCCTCCGCTGACTCTTTTCAGACTCAGCTGACCCGCACCCGGGTGAACAAACAGCCTTGTTGCTCACACAAAGCCTATTTAGGTGGTCTCTTCGTTCAGAGCATGCCTAATACACACAAGGAGACCCACATGCACACAGACGCACCTGCATGTGTGACAGACGTGAGCAGAGACAGGAGACCCCTTCATCTGGAATTGGGTTTAATCTCCTGTGAATCAGCCAATCGGCAGCCACTTTGTGCAGTCAGCTGCCTGCTGCAGCCCGGCTTGCCTTTCCACTGCTCATCTTCATTGAAGGAGGTAAAGAACGAAGTCCACACTCCACAGGACAACTGCTACAGAAGCTGGAAAGCTGCCTGGCTTACTGACACAAATTTAAGAACGAATATTTCCTCCAAAGTCTTGGGTGAACTATGGTAGTGTGGGCAGTGTGGGCGTCCGGCGCCCTGAGCTGGCTGGGCTGGAAGGAGAGCGTGGTATTCTGTGAGCCAGGTCGCAGCGGTGTGGGCGGGAGGCAGGGGTGGCATTGGGGTGGCACTCACAGTGAGAGACGGCCGGGGAGGCCCCCGGGAAGAATCTGCCCGTCAGGGGGGATGGAAGCCACGATCAGACGTGAGGCTAAATGTGAGCTCCGTGTACAAACAAAGCATCCGCTCATTGTGTAGGACCAACCATCTGTTTATATTCTAACAATCAGATGCAATAATTGAATGTAGTAGCTATAATTTCTAATCAAAAATTAGAATACATGGTCTGTACACTATGGTCAGAGGACAAGATTAAGTTTTCTCTTAAAAACCGAGAAATGGGGTCTACAGAAAATAAACTGAGGCACGCAGTCCTGCGGACCCAGCTCCTCCCTGGCTTCCACCAGCTCCAGTGTGATGAGGAGTCTGTCTTCTCCTTCCTTCTGGAAGAGGTCAATTTAGGCTTTTTTAAAATGCAGAGTTGAGGGCTGTGAGCCGACAGAGGCGGCCTCGTCATCGTCACTTTCCATCAGCTCACACGCGGGGACTGTCCCTGGGGCCCTGGCTGAGGAGGGCGTCCGCTGACAGCCACTGCTCAGAGGCCAGCAGAGCCTCTCGTGGGGCTGTCCAGCTCTTCTACACTGAATGATGAGGATCCCAAATTTAAAGTAAAATCGTAAGCCCCCAACTGGCTGAATGGACCCCTTTGGCCGAGGAGACCCCCTAGAAACCTTAAAAACCGAGTTCGCAGGCACGATGGGCCGGAAGGTTAGACACACTTCCCTTTTGGGGTTTAGACACCACAGGCCAGCATTTATGTTAAAACTGAGAACAGATGTGGCATTGAGACACCAAATCAGACACGCCCTAAGGCCCTGCCAGGCGAGGGTGCAGTCTCCCACCTGCGCTTAAACAATAAACTGTCCTCACCGCCACGAGGGTTTCCTTCTCCACCGGCTACAGCGGCGCTGGCCTTGAGATGGGCGAGACGAAAACGACTTGCAGCTTATCCGCCACCCAGCGCTGGCTCGCCGGCCGCTGCTCCGCCAGCCGTAACTACAGCGTTGGCGGAACGAGAGTGATTTCAGTCACTTCCTCCTGACAAAAATAAGCCCACGGCCGGGCCGGTTTACAGAGGCTGGCGCCGGGCGCCCTCGGGCCCTGCCTCACCTTTGGAAGCGCAGGGCCTGCCTGGGACGCACTCAGATGCTGAGTCTCCTCTCCGAGGTGAACAGGGTCGTATGGCACGTGCATGTGTGTTCAATACGATGCGCCAGAACCGCCTCATGAATATTCATACATCTCCTGTAACCTGTTGAATATGTATGCTCATCCACCCGGTTCAGCATGAAGCTCCTGCCCCAGCCCCTTCTCCTCCAGGTGCCTGTCCCGGGTCTCCACAGGAGGCTGTGCTTCCCAGCCTGTGAGGTGCCACTTTGCAGACTGTAACTCTTTACAAGAAATGTGTCTTTAGGCCAGGCATGGTGGCTCACGTCTGTAATTCCATCACTTTGGGAGGCTGAGGCAGATGAATCACCTGAGGTCAGGAGTTCAGGACCAGCCTGGCCAACATGGTGAAACCCCATCTTGACTAAAAATACAAAAAAAGTAGCCGGGTGTGGTGGCGCGCCCTTTGTAACCCAGCTACTTGGGAGGCCAGGGCAGAAGAATTGCTTGAACCCGGTAGGCAGAGGTTGCAGTGAGCCTAGATCATGCCCCTGTACTCCAGCCGGGGCAACATGAGTGAAACTCCATCTCAAAAACGGAAAAAAAAAAAAAAAGAAATAACATCTCCTTTTCTAAACTGATGAGTCGTGTCATCTTTTAGTTAACAGGATGAAGAAATGGATGGTCAAGAAGATAAATTAAAAATCATAAAGGAGATGACCTATTCACTCTTTGGGAGTGAGGAGAAAACCAAACAGCAAACCGAAACCCCACACGAATGAAGAAGCCTTAAACAGCCACATTCCAAACCGGGAAAAGTATCCCAGGGCTAGGACTTCACTGGGATAAGATGTTGAATCTGGAGCAAGATAGAACAAGGTTGGACGTTTCCTGGATGATCCGCACCGCCTCCTTAGAAACGAGGGTGAGGTGCCCACAAGCCTGGCAGCCTCTCATGGGGTGGCCTGCGTGGTCTGCTGTGTGGCCTCTACCCTGGGCAGGAAGACAGCAAGAATAAACGGAAGTGCCTTGAAAATGCCAACCTTACCCAGCTGGAAGCCACACCGAAGTGCAAGAATTCATAATCTGATTTATTAATATCCTAGTCAGAAACGCCATAGCAATAAATACATCTGTGCCTGTAAAAAGAGAGCATACTGGAAAAATCACACGTGTCCAGGTGTATCTCAGTCAGCCATAGGCAGAGCCCTTTCTAAATGGACAAACCCAGACACCGTGAAAACCAACAGCCGCCCCACCTGGGAAACTAACAGCTGGGCTTCCTGGAAAAATGCCTGATTTAGAATCCTGACGAAGGTGTGTTCACACAAAGGATCCATCTTCTTTTTTTTTTTTGAGATGGGGTTTCGCTCTGTCGTCCAGGCTGGAGTGCAATGGTGCAATCTCAGCTCACTGCAACCTCCGCCTCACAGGTTCAAGCAATTCTCCTGCCTCAGCCTCCCAAGTAGCTGGGACTACAGGTGCCCGCCATCATGTCCAGCTAATTTTTGTATGTTTGTAGAGACAGGGGTTTCACCATGTTGGCCAGGCTGGTATTGAACTCCTGACCTCAGGTGATCCACCTGCCTCAGCCTCCCAAAGTGCTGGAATTACAGGGGTGGGCCACCAGGCCCAGCCAAGGATCCATCTTCTCTAACGTTCGGCTTGAAGAGAGACCCCCACTGTTTCAGAACAGCCTTCCGCCTCCCTAGGTCTTCTCCCCGCCTAGAGCCCTGCCTCTCCCTGCAGTCAGTTTCCTCTCGCTTAGGGTTTTCCCACCCTCAAGCTCTCCTCAAACAGTCCAGTGTTTCAGATACGAGCAAGGGGCCGCCGTGACCCGGGAGATGGGGTAAGTGGGGATCAGGGAACAGAAGCAGGAATGCACAAACGCGGACACGCTGCAGGCCTCCACGCTCATCGAACTCTAGAAGAGGCAAAACCCACCCACACAGGGTGCTTAGGAGAGGTGGAGGGGACGAGGAAGGGGCACGAGAACCTTTCCTGGGTGATCAAAATGTCCTGTGTTGTTCTACCTCTGTTCACGTTGCATTTGCCACAATTCGAAAGCACTTAAAATGAGTGCATTTTATTGTATGTAAATGATAACTCAATAAAAACGAAAGATGTGAACAATTTCCTGGGAAAAGAAAATGTTATTTCACCGTAAGTGCTTTAGCAGAATTCCATTATCTGCCTCAGCTCTTACTCTTTTTCTTCTTTTTTGAGACAGTCTTGCTCTGTCGCGCAGGCTGGAGTGCAGTGGCCACGATCACAGCTCACTGCAGCCTCGACTTCCCAGGCTGTAATAATCCTCCCACCTCAGCCTTGTGAACAGCTGAGACTGCAGGCGTGAGCCACGGCGCCCAGAAACTTACTCTTGCCCGTAAAAGCACAGCTCTGAAGCGAAGAAACCTGAGGCGCCATATCCAGGAGGCCGGGCAGGCGAAAGCGGAGTCCGAGGGAGGCCAGCCCAGCACAAGGAGTTTCAAATGCTACGAATTCTGACGGGGAAAAGTTATATGAAGCAAGAAAGGCAACTTAAAGAGACAGTTTATCATATGAATGTTTAATTCTTAAAAATGAACAAGCTCTATTTATAATGCCCAGTTAGAAATGAATTCCTAAAAACATCAGTAGATCGGCACTCACTTTAGTTACTGAAATAGAGCCATACCCCACAGAGCCAGTCCGGGATGTTCATGTTACCGTCACACCACCTGCGGATATTTTAAATTGAGACGGAGTTTCCTTACACATTTAAGGCTCCAGTTTCCTCTGTACAGTGTGGAGGGAATTTAAAAATTAATCCTAACATGAAGATTTTTTATCCAGTTAAATAAAAATACTTAGAAAATGACCTGTCCTTCCAAAACATAAGGTTGACTTGGGGTTTTTCTGTGATATAACACACTAGGCATAATCGTATCTCAGAATTGGTGGGTAGAAAATGTACGTACTAATACTCGTTAAAATTCAAGAGCTTGATTGTGAAAGAATCTAGAGATCTCACAGTGAAAAAATACTAACACAGCTCATATGTAAATCACTTATATACAAGAACAATTATAGAAAGAATCTAAATGGGGCAATTTTAACAAAACAGGCAAAGTATCATATATACTTGAATATAAGGTGTCCAAGCCATGAGCATAAGATTAAGGCAGTTAACTTTATTTTGAACAAGGAAGCGGCATAAGCAACTCAGTCTGTGCCCTTTAAGATGGGAGCCCTTCCCCCCAGCACGCCCCGCCCCAAGGCAGAATTTTGGGAGGAAAAAGTGTCTCCTCTCTGGCTAGCTTGCTATCGATGATCACACCTTCTCACATGGCAGCCACAGCATCACATCCAGAGGAGCATCTAGGAAGAGCATTTTGGGAGATGACACTTTCATTTGGGTCTGAGATGAATGCATGAACTAACACAGGGCCACGGACCCACGAGTCTCCCTCGAGTTAGAGAAAATGAAGGTGACTTGCTTACACTTCCAAGCTGCTTTCTAGATCCTTTCATCACAAAATATTCTGATCAAATCAACCTACAAAGGAAACTGGCATCGAGCCTACCCTATAAAAGCAAAGAGAAAATGACTGATTTTCTGCTCAGCCACCGTTCTGAGGACCTTTACGAGGTGCGTGTCAGCTCCCAGGGAGCACTGCTAGGCTGTCTGCGCCAGAAACTTCACATACTGCCCCCGGGCTTCGACATGGTCCGCAGGCCGGTTGTACGCCGTCCACACCGGCTCTCCCACGAACAGCCGCATGGCCTTCGCGTAGTTCTGAAAGACAGACCAACACAGCCAGCCCCTCCTTAAGCCAGCCAGCCTTCTACTTACTTTTATTTATTAACATATCAACTTGTTAACATTAATTGCTACAAACACTCTCCTTGCTATTTTTATTCTGTATCTTTTACAATTTAGGCCACATTTTACTCTTGGAAGGAAAATTCGTATCAGGTGGTGAGGGAATGTGTTCTCTGTCCGGGTCCACGAGGGGGCGTAGCTTTTAGGGGCAAGAGCTTCCCAGAGCCATTCCCCCACTTCCATCTCTCTCCATCTGGGAGATTTAACTGTTTCTGGTTGGGCACGGTGGCTCACGCCTGTAATCCAAGCACTTTGGAGGCCAAGGTGGGTGGATCACCTGAGGTCGGGAGTTCAAGACCAGCCTGACCAACATGGTGAAACCCCATCTTTATAAAAAAAAAAAAAAAAAAAAAAAAGGTTCTGTTTTGATTTTCGAGGGTGTGGGAAAAATCAAAAGTCAATCACTTCAGCGGAAGTTCTAGGAAGCTCCTTTCATTGGCCAAAGGTCTTAGAGAAGGTGGGGGTTCCTCCCAGGTTATAAGTCCCCTTCTTCTACACCCCTTTGGACTCCATGTCCGAATCCCCTTCCACAAACACTCTCTCGTGGAAGCCTGTCTTCCCCTCCTCAATTCCATCTCTCTGTTTCTCAGTTCCTTCCACCCACTGTGAAAGCTGTCTTTCCTCTCCTAGATTCCATCTTTCTGGATTCTCTCACTCAGTGTAGGTGCCAGCTGTTTCTCTCTCCTTCTCCTGTTCCTCTTTCTCTACCCAAATAAATTCACTTTCTGCAGAAACTGTTTGGGGTCGGGTATTTACTTTGCAAGTGCACCTGGTCCCCTCTCTCATTCTTGAGAAAGCAGAAAACCAAAAACCTTGGAAAAACATCCTCTCAGGAAAGCTAAGGGCACCCCAAAACCCCCACAGTGGTGCGGCTGCTGCCGCCTGTCCTCACACACCAGGTAAGAGCGTTTGCAGCCGAGCCTGGTGTTGAGCTCCACACCTGAGAAACACCGTTAGGAAAAGCCCCGACTCCAGTTCTATGCCCCCTTCACCTCCTTTCCGCCTGGCTTGGCTACAGTGTTCCTAAGAATCTGCACCAGGGCCCCCGTGTTGCTTGTGGGCAAGAGAGGACAACTCAGCAACATCCGTCCAAACTAAAAACGCCCATGCCTTTTAATTCAGTTTTCACTTTTAGGAATTTACCCTCCAGAAAAACATACATGAGTGCAAAATGACAAGCGTAAGGGTATTTATTACAGCACTGCTCACAAGAGCAAAAACCTGGAAACAATGTATATACTCATCATTGGGGGGTGAACCAGCCACTGAAATAAATTAACGGTTAAGTCCAGTACAGCGTGTCCAGCGCCACAGTCCTACGCAGCTGTAACAAGGGCTAAGCTGGTAGCTACTGATATGAAACAGTCCCAGTGCACAGCATGCAGAAAAGGTAAAATGTAGAACCACGGGCAGAGTCTGCTGCCTTTTGTTTGAAAAGGGGAATAGTAAGCATCCTGACCAGGCTGGGCGCGGTGGCTCACGCCTGTAATCAGCACTTTGGGAGGCCACGGCGGGTGGATCACTTGAGGTCAGAAGTTCAAGACCAGCCTGACCAACATGATGAAACCCCGTCTCTACTAAAAACACAAAAATTAGCCAGGCACGGTGGCAGGCACCTGTAATCCCAGATACTCAGGAGGCTGAGGCAGGAGAATCGCTTGAGCTTGGGAAGCAGAGGTTGCAGTGAGCCAAGATCGTGCCATCACACTCCAGCCTGGGCAACGGAGCGAGACTCCATCTCAAAAAGGAATCCTGACTGACAAGCACTTGGGTATGCATAAAGTCACTCTAAAAATAATTTTTTAATGGAATACTGGTTACTTTCAGGGAGAGAAACTGGGGGGCTGGGAACGGGGGTCAGAGGGAGACCTCGATGAAAGGTCCCCTTTCATATTTCTAAATGTTAAACATGTGCATTTAGTATTTACTCAAAAATTTACTTTAGTCTCAGCATTGCGCCCATCGCCTCCAGCGAACCCCAAAGCTACCTCATCTGTGTTTATTGCCAGTCCTGACTGGACTGAGCTACTGTTAATTCCAAAACTGAAAAGTCTTTAAAAGTGACAGCGTGGCAACATGACAACCCTACAGACGCCTCACTGCCAAGCACAGGCTGGGGCAGGGCCACGGCTGCTGGGTATGCCCCACCTGCGTATGAAATGCACATCTGTCCACCAGGATCACAGGCAGAGGCCGCTAGGGCTGCCATGGAAGGAAGGACAGCTGTCACCTTGGACCCTGCCTGCGGCTCCACGGGGACTCTCCATGAAGCACAGAGCGAGGAGTCCCGAGCCTGGCAGGCACACCTGGAGACCACAAAGCCACACAGTTCAGCAGCAGGGATGCCACGGCCAGGGACAGCACACGGGCCAGGCATGGGGGAAAGCACAGTGCGCCCACCTTCTCCTCCACGGCCAGGGACAGCACACGGGCCACACGTGGGGAAAGCACGGCATGCCCAGCTTCTCCACAGCCAGGGACAGCACACGGGCCACGCGTGGGGAAAAGCACAGTGCGCCTACCTTCTCCACAGCCAGGGACAGCACACGGGCCAGGCGTGGGGAAAGCACGGAGTGCCCACTTTCTCCTCCACAGCCAGGGACAGCACACGGGCCAGGCATGGGGGAAAGCACAGCGCGCCCACCTTCTCCACGGCCAGGGACAGCACATGAGTCACACGCGGGGGAAAGCACAGCGCGCCCACCTTCTCCTACACAGCCAGGGCCAGCATACGGGCCACGCATGGGGGAAAGCACGGCGCGCCCACCTTCTCCTCCACAGGCAGGGACAGCACACGGGCCAGGCGTGGGGGAAAGCACAGCGCGCCCA